CTGGACCTGGGACTCCCCGACACACTGAGCGTTTATATCCTACCACACAGAGAGAGTTTGGACCTCACCAGGATGTCCAGCTAAATGTTGTCATTTGTCAAACATGCAGTAAAACTACTGCAGCCAAAGGCAGAAGTACTTCCAGTTTATTCCACCAGCTGATAATCATCCAGTGTAAGGTGAAGAGTGTTTTAAACTCAGTGTGTGAACGTCTCCACACACACCAAAGGACACGTTAGTGCTGTGCGATATGACCACAATCTCATCTCCCGATATAAGACATCTATCGCCCCGGTAACGATAGAAATCACAAAAATGTAACGTTTTCTGTAAATTCTGTGAAACTCGGGCAGCTCCACTTGTGTGAAGTGTTTCCTGCTGGGCGTCATGTAGCTGGAGTCGAGTGTTTTAACGATGCATGAAACGATACATTTTAGACATAAGTTGTAACGGCGCCGTTTTCTTTGTGAGTATTTATTACACGGCGTGCTGCGGGGAAAAGCCTGTTCTAACGTTTGAGTCGAAGCTTTATTTTTTAGCACCTGGCGTCTTTTTTACTTCTCATCCGTAAATAATCTGCTCTTTCACATGATTCAGTTTATTTTGAAAAGTCTCAACAGGATCTTGAGCTTTATTGTGAAAGGTTTATGTGGAACATAAACAAGCGGACACGCGATGGTGTTACCGTCGCTGTTGCTAACGACAATGCATAAAAACAGGCACTTGTCCGTCTGTAGTGTGGTGATATTACATATAAGAGAAAGAGAGAACTTTAAGAAATGAATACAGCCACTACACAGTGACACCAGAACCATGAAAAATATTGCTGTAAACAGTTTATTTTGCGATACCACGAAACAAACGATAGCGTAAAATGAAACGATGGACGTTTTTATATCGTCATCCGATGTATATCGTTACATCGAACAGCCCTAGGACACGTCACTGCCCTCTGTCACCGATTCTCTGCATAATTTTATGGACGGATTTCTGGGTGTAGCTGCGTGGTGTCAGGACTAAAGTCTCTGCTTCTCACAGTCGATGTGGTTCTGCTGGCTCCAACTCACAGTTTCACAGCACAGTGTGAACGAGAGTCAGCACCTCCAAGTCTGAGGCCACGGACCCACTCTGAGCGCCCACTCTGAGCGCCCACTCTGAGCGCCCACTCTGAGCGCCCACTCTGAGCGCCCACTCCGGGTCAGGGACGAGCTACTAGGTGGAGGGGTTTAAGTATGTTGAGGCGTTGATCACAAGCGAGGGGAGATCGCCAGACGGATTGCCGCTGCAGTGATGCGAGCACTGTCCCGGACCGTCGTGGTTAAGAGAGAGTGTGAAACCGCTCAATCTACGTCCCTACCCTCAGCTATGGTGACGAGGTGTGGGCGGGGACCGAAAGAACGCGATTGCAGATACAAGTGGCAGAAATGAGCTTCCTTATGGGCTCAAACTGGGCTCAGACATATTCTGTAAATCAAATGAGTCGCTGTGAACTGAGATTTGTATCTTGTAAACCAAAATATCTGAAAATGTTACGCTTGTGCATCTACAGATGAGAATCTGTGTGTTTTTAAAAACATTTACAGAGGTTACAAATAGTTTTTGTTAAGGTCTTCTAACAGATACAAAGCACAAAACTACGGTGAAACTCTGCGCTCAGCTTCCTGGCTGCGTGCGTTGCAACTGACCAGTACGACTTCTGACCCAGTGTGTTTTCTTTCAGCCGACTGGATTGTTACATTTGTGACCAATCAGAGAACAGATGGTTTCAATGTCGGTGGGGTGCTTTACCGAGCTTCAGGTCCTGGGAGGGTGATGCAGTTTTAAGCTGGAGGATCTCTATATGAATGTCCCATAGGGCTCCCCGGGAGCTGCCGGAAGGATAAAGTTGTGCTATACCAGAAACACCATCATCCTTCAGAAGGATAGGCGTGACCAAAAAGCACCACACGCCCCTAGCTGGTCGCATGCACATTCGCACCTCGAAGCGCGTCCAAAGCAAACTGGTCGCGCTTTAAAATATTCAATTTTGACGCGTGTGAAGCGGAAATGTGGGAGGAAGTAGTGCCAGACGGTATGTTTGCAAGACGGCAGCTGTCGAGCGTTTGAAGAGAGCAGAGCAGTGGCGAAAAGGACGCTTTACACATCAGTCACTACAGCGACTTGACGCTGGAGTTCAGATTTTTCCAACTTGAGTGGGAGACACAATTAGCGCGAATGCACAACATGCAACACACAAACTGCAGCGCACATTTTACCTCACGCTTCCAACGCGTCAGTCGCACTGCTTGGTTGCGCGAATCAGGCAGAAAAGCGCTTTCATGACGCAAATCTGCTTCTGAAGTTTCGCGGGACCCCCAGTCGCGCTTCATCGCGCTCCTCTTTACACGTAAACCTGAAGCCCCGGTCGCGTCTATCGCGTTCAGTGTGAACGCACCCTTAGAGACAGGGTGAGGAGTTCAGCCATCCTGGCGGGGAGCCGGCTGAGGAGTTCCAACATGTCCCACTCAGAGGAGGCCCCGGGGCAGACCCAGGACATGCTGGAGGAGGTGGTGGAGGGGACGGAGGTGTGGGCTTCTCTGCTGCTGCCCCCGCAACCCGGCCCAGCAGAACAACATGGATGGATCCACTCCTGTATCTGTTTGCCCAAGCACCTGAGAAGGGGTGTGGCCCCACCTCGCCGTCCCCCCAGCAGCAGCAGCCAGGTGCTTGTTCTCCCCGACTCCACCAGGTGAGCTCTCAGAGTGATGAGCTCTGATACTTGGTGAGCTCGCATGTGGAGCTGGTTTCCATGGTGACCGTGAAGGTCAAACACACAGGTGATGAGGGACCCCCCTCTGTCACCGTGTCACATTCGACAGGTGACTCGATCCATTTGCTGATCTGTGGGGGCGGGGTTAATGCTCAGGAAAGTCTCCTAGGTGGACTCTGACCTAGAGGCTCTTGTGAGGTCACTAATAAGGTCAACGAACCACATGGAGTCGGAGTACTGTTGTTGAAGTACTCTGTACGAATACACAGCTTGCATGCAGTACCTTGTATTCGTGCAGCAGTCCTCTGACGGCATCCTCGTCTGTGAGGTCACAGCGCAGAAGGCGGAGCCTGGCTCTCCTGTATCCCGTCCCAGTGACGGTCCATCCGGCGCTGTGAAACTCTCGGCACACCGCTCGCCCCAGGAGGCCTGTCGCCCCAGTAACCAGGACGCGTGGCGCCCCCACCAGCAACTCCTCCTGAGTACATAAGAGTACACACATCAGTATTACAGTTAGTGTATAAAACCCCTGTGATTTGTGTATATAGACTGTTCCACGGACCCCTTCTAACCACTGCTAAGATGGTACATTCCTCCCATCCTTTGTTTGAGTTTGCGCTGGTTCACCGTGATAGCGCTGGTGGAGCTGGGCTGTTGTACTGAACATGTGTCGTGCGTGTGCGTGAATGATGAGTAAGTGCCTTGTATTTGTTTGTTCTATGGTTGTAACTTATCATATACTTAGCTATGTACATTGGGTGATGCTTTGTAGAGTTTTCCAGCGGTTTGTGTAGCCACGAGACACTGTATATTCACACTGATTTGACCAAAATGGCGCTACCCTTGTGAACTGAGCTGCCCAAAGTAAAGATGGAGTCTATCCCTGTGCAGCAGCCCATTTGTGTCCACCAGGGGGTGGTGTTTAGTCATTTCTGTTCAACCCTTCCTGTATTATTTAGACCAGCTTGGTTGACTTTAATTGTTTGCTAATTGTAATTTCTGTTATTTTACAGAACCACACACATACATATACTCACACGAATTCACTTCTGGAGATGTTTTGGATTAAAGGAACCCTAATTCTCATTGCTGTGGACCCTCTCTTTTATCATATAAGTCACCTGTGCCTTCTGACCGAGGATAGGAAAATCCTGCTGTAATTTGCCAGTTTATTAAGTACACACATGTCCAGTTCAGTTAGTATTACAGAGGACTATAGTTAGTACTATAGAAAGACAGTATTGTACTTAGTACTACACACAATACTACACTGCTACAAGTTGTACCAGAGTCAGTAATACAGACAGTACTACAGACTAGGGCGGGGTGATGTATCGAATATACTCGATGTATCGCGGGTTTTCCACGTACATGGTTAACGTGGCTTTATCGTAACCATAGAGTATGGGTTACCATGGCAACAATAATCTGTCTGCATGCAATTGAGAGTTTTTCTCTCCCACACTCTGTGAATGCATCACTGACCCCCCTCCCAAGCTGAAACTGTGCAGCTGATGGTTCAAACATTTAAATTCTTTCTGACTTCCTGTATCAAAGTAGAACAAACACAGAGATGGACCAACGTTAGAACGTGTGGCGATACAGATCACGTCTCTGATGTCGCTCCAAAACATGGTCATATTAGATTTCCTCATGTCGCCCAGCCCTACTGACAGGGTGAGGCTGCTGTGGCCAGTCGGGGGGTGTAGCCGCCACTGGTGGTGTAGCCTCAAAACAGGTGAAGAGGTTTGGCTCTTCTGCCAGTGTGTCGTCACCCTCAGCAGCTCTGAGTCTTCTGATCGGGGACATGTTGGACACCTTAGCACACCTGCCTGCTGCTGCTGCTCAGGTTGGCTGAGCCGTGCTGTAAAGAGAAGAGGGCAGAGGAACACCACGCTACCAAGTGTCCAAGGGCTGAATTAGCATTAGCATCCGGTGGAATGTAAGGGTAAGGGTTAGCCATCCTGCATACGGTGAACACACAGGAGGTAGATGAGCCTGCGTCTGACAGTCGTACACGTGAGGTCTGGGGAGCAGTGACTGTCTACTGCTGTTATCACGCACATACAGTTGGCACGGTAACACTTCCACGTTACCTGAGGCCAACACGAGACCAGCAACAAGCACGCCAAGCAAGAGCTACCAAATGAAACCGCTGAGATGGACTTGTTACATTTTAATAATAAGAGAACATCTTTGGTAAGAACATGGTTGTGTGTCTGGACTCAAACTGCAGGGTGTGGCACAGGTCAGCACTTGTGACATCACTCATGACATCACTCGTGATTACAGACTTAGTTTTACACTTTTATCCCCTCGTTTGGGAACATCAGTACTACAGACTGCACTACAGTTAGGAGAGTACTGCAGTTAGTACTTCATACCGTAGTACAGTGAGTATTACAGTACTATAGGGAGTACTACAGTCGGGTATAAACATACCTCTGCCAGTATACCAGAGTCACACACCTGTGCAGACCCCTCCCCCTGCACGCGCAGACCCAGATCAGTTCCTTTAATCAGTATGTTTATTTTATAAATAAAGTTTTACTGCAGTATTTAAGTAGTATTTGAATTCTGGGAGCCGTTAGCAGTTAGCATTTAGCTGCTGACAGGTGAGCTTTACCTGAACAAGCTGCACGCGCCCCGGACTGAACAGAATCCTTAGTTCTGCGCCTGCGCAGCTCATCTCTGATTGAATATGTGCACTGGATCAGTTATTGATCAGGTACCTATCACTCGGAGCCTCGCGGATTTTCTGATGCGCACTTTCTGTCTCGGTCACTTCCGGACTGATCAGCTGTTTGCCGTAAAGCAGCTGTCGCGCTGCCACTAGCGGTTAGCATACAGGCTAACAGGCTTTTCTTTAGCTTCGGTGACCCAAGTCAGAGTCCTGATCCTCGCCAACGGGTCGGAACCGTCCCGGGAGCGGCTCTAACGGCGTCAGCATCACAGCTGAGCGAGAAAGACTCATTGCAGAGCTCACCTGCGAGCACGCGGACCCAGAACCGGGCATCGGACAGACCAGGACAGACCGGACCAGCACGGACCGGACCAGCACGGACCGAACCACGGACCAACGAAACCCACACAAGGATCAGGAAACTCCCCGGAGTCACAGCCCGGTGCTGCTCCGCTGCTTCTTCTTCTTTGTGAGCGGCTCACACAAACGTCGATTTGTGGCTCTACCACCGCCACGCGGTGCGGAGTGTGACCGAAATCAGACTCGGGGTCAGGCTCTGACGAGAGCTCTTGAATTGTTAATTAAACCAGTTTATTTCTAAGTGAACAGATTCATGTTTGACTGCTTTCATGGCCGGCGGGGGCAGACCGATCCCCGGCCTGCAGTCACGTCGTTCCTACTGACAGAACGACGAGTAAAAATCTCATTAATCATCTAAATCTGCACGGATATAGGTCCTTTTAACCTGATTAGCATAAACATATTTCAGTAAAATAATTCTAATTAGGGGAAGTGCCACTGCTTTCATCAGCCTGTTCTAAACTGTAGGATCACAGTGGAGACCAGAGTCTGCACAGTGTAACACACCATCAAAGGATTCATGAACTGCACAAAAGCCTTTGGAGAACAGTCTTCACATGCACAGGTTCACTCTGCTGTGTGGGTTGTTGTGTGACCCCCCGGGTCAGAGCCGGTGCACAGAGCTGCAGCCTCGTCTGTCACTCACCTCCTGAAATAGAAACCTGCAGCCCGACACCGCCCCGCTCTCTCTGTTTATCTCTCGCTCTCCCTGCAGCCTGTCAGCAACACTCCCACAGGTGCTGTGGGTCGCCCCACACTGAGCTGGTGTTCACATCAAACTCACCCGCTGCTCCAAAACTTTCTCTCAGCCACATTTCTGAGTCTGAAAACTTTGAAAATTTCATTTATTTGGATTTAAACTGAGAGCCTGAACACTCCTCCTGGACCAGGAACACACCCTTCGGCTTTAACCCGAGCCAGGACCAGGACCAGAACCAGGACTAGGCTCTCCCGGAGAAGTCCGAACTAAGTTTGACCTTGAATGTTTGACAGCAGGACATGATCCTGATTCTGGTCCCGGTCCTGTCGGTAGTTTAACGCTAAGCTGATTTCAGGTAAGGACATGCTAACACTCACTTATTGGGTTATTATTCATGACTGAACCTGATTTCTTCTTCTAAATATTTGGCACTTGTTCCAGCTGTAAGTGTAAAACAGCTTTCAGCTGTAAAATTTAAATCATTGATGTTTCAGCTTCATCATTCAGGTAAACGCGCGCATCGTCAGTGCAGAGCTTCACTCTGCTTCTCTCTGCAAATCAGATAAATGATGATCAGCATACAGCATCACAGGTTACATTTTAAAGCCACGTTTCCATTTTACCTGCAGTTATTACTCAGATCTGCCAGTTTCAGTAAGGTTCTTGATGCCTCCTTTACGTTAATCGAATCGCCGCAGTGTGACAGCGAGCTGATAAAGGGAAGCACTGCGTACCTGTCCCAGCCTTCCTCAGACGGCAGGTATCACGTGTTCGGCCGGCCTCTGTACGTCTGCCTGATTGTCTGAATCACCTCTGAACCCCAGCTCTGGAGGAACTATCACAGGGCAGGACGGCTTTAGTTTAATAATGACCCGAGCAGCCGGGTCCGCTTCATGGATTTAAGATTGAGGGTTTTCCCTGGATGGTGATCGTGGATCAGTAGAACTGAGTGGGATTAAATCATGGAGCACTGTGGACTCAGTGGGAAATCAGCATTTCATTCAAACTGCTTCATTAATGTCTCCATGTTTGTTTGTGCGTCCTCCAGAGACACAATCATGAGCGGCCACGAGGACACAGCAAAAAGAGAAAGAGGGCGGGGCATCTTCCTCAGCGCTCACCGCTGCCCTGAAGTCGACGTGCTGCCTCATCAAACTGCTGAGGCACAAATCCTTCCACGCTGTTCTCCAGTTCCTGCAGACAAGAGCTCTGAGTTCACCTGCACAGGTGAGAGCGAGCCAGATTACCTGGACTTCTGCTCCACCCATCGCTCCGAGGTAGATGAGGAAGAGGAAGACGAAGGGAGTGTCAGCGACTGGTCGGAGGAAGATCTTTCACTCCACTTCTCTCCCTCTGTCCTCATCCAATCAGACGATGAAACGTCTGATCCAGAGAGTGGCTTTGAGTGTGTTGACATCACCATAGAGACACAGGTGAGCGGTCATCATCATCAGCTGGTTAGATGAACGTACGTGTGGGGCCTAGTTTCATCTTTACCAGCAGCGTTTGTTTCCTGTCGTCCAGGTGAAAGGTCAGGATGCGGAGGGGCTAAAGATGGTGCCTAAACGGCAGATTCACCTGAAGAAGAAGAAGAAGGACGGCGAGGATGGCGCTGAACAGGTAAACACTGATAAACTACAGGTATGTCTTCTGCCAGTTTAACTGTTTGCTCACCTGTTGGTCTACCTGTCCAGGTGATACTGAAGGATGTTCCTGCTGAGGGCAGAGGAATTAACAATAATACGTCAGCTAATGAGCTGCTGTGTCCCACTACTCGATCACGGCCTGAACTGTTACTACGGCAACACAGTATGCCCACCTCCTTTCACGCCACCTCAAATACTAGCAGTGATGCTGAGAGCTACGGGGTCTACAAGGGCCTGATTGCAGGGGCTGGCCAAGGTAACAGCACGTCTACCTGTCAACAAGCTCCCTGTTTCTGTCAGTAAGGACCGCCCACCCTCCACCCTGGGGAGCACTGAAAAAATAAACTGTTATTGATCATATTCACTGGTTCAGGATATCAATTTGGACAAAAGCAGAGAGGGATGATCACAGGATCCTTTCCATGATGAAGAGAAACTAGTTTGTATCCACCAATCAGATCCCTGAACAGAGGGAGGCATGTATTTAATCAGGAAGTGACAGGAAGTAAACACTCCCACTCAGCTGATTTGTGTCATTAGCTAACGGCACGCTGGCTTCAGTTGGCGAACGCAGAAAGCAAAAACAGCCCCGATGCTGAAATGTTGGGACGCTGTGTGAAATGCAACAACTTACAAATCTCATTAACACACATTTTATACACAAAAGAACAAAAAATAAACACTCAGCTGTGTAGACTCCAGCAGAGTGGAGATGTCTTCTCTTTGTACCCGACCATGTCTGACCTGATGAGCTCTGAAATCTCTGACTGTCTCTGTTTAGTACGCCTTACTCTTCCAGCCTTTGTTGCTCCATCCCAACTTTTTTGGAACTGGGGTTGTAGTTCGCACATGAAATACGAGGGGGGGCAGGGGGGCGCTTTCTTTGCTGAGCTGTGCACTGATTACACACATCTGAATAGACTCAAGCTGATACCACGCTGGTGTGATTGCTGTGCCGTGGGTTGCCATAGCAGAGAGGCCTGAGTGTCAAATAACAGTCTCACTCACTGCTACATGGTTCCCTGCAAACTGCAGAAAATCTCAGAAACTAGAACTTAGCTCGAACCCGTTGGTCCTCCAACCTAACCCTAACCTCAGAAGAAAACCTCTAAGAAAATAATTTAATATTCTGATTTTCAGTGGATAAAACTTCAATCACCGGGTAGCACAGCATGATATTGGATCACAGCCCGTCAGACTTCACGACTTCCACACTACAACTAAATGTGGTGTTTCCAGAGTGTCTGACTGTGTCTAACGAGAGCTTTCCTTTCGCATCAGTCCTTTATTTATGCAGGTAAAATTCTCATTGAAACTACAGTCTCGTTTTCAAGTACAGACATGAAGTCATGGCCTTGAGTTAAATGATGGTAGGATATGATTTACAAGGATTTTTGCATGATTGAGATCCCTGATTCACAATAGACGCGACACGTGCTTCACTGAGGATGCAGCTCAAAGTTTGTGTTCTGCCTGTACTGCATCATTGTCGGGGTCTTCATGGGTATACATGCCCGCTCCCTGACGTTCTGCATTTCTATTGGTTGCATGAAGAAAACAGTTAATGTGCGCCGCAAGCCATGAAAACCAAAGCTTCAAATGTTGCCTCAACATGTCTGTCGAAGAGGTGCAACTCTACTACTGAGTATTATTATTATTAATACACGTCTTTGTTTTTGTTCTATTGATGATGAAAGACGAAGAATCTGAGTTTGATGACGTTTCTGATGGTTTCAGGGCTCCTGATTGGAGGAAACTCTCAGCGTCTTCAGAAGTCGTTCTCTCTGGATGAAACCAAAACAAAGATGGCATCCTGCCTCATTAAGAACGTGCTGTCGAAAAAGATGCAGGTGGAACAGAAAAACCTGAAGAAGAACGCGGAGGTATCACCTGTCCTGCCTCTGGGTCATCAGACAGGAGGAGGCGGGGTCAGAGCTCCGGTTCACGTGGTGAGAGACGTGAGGAGTTTAGTTAAACACTCATACGGCCACTCATTCACCACATCAGCCGCGTCACAGGACAACAAGTCAACAAGCTGCAAAGCAGTTGGCCAAGAGGATAGCCCTACGCCTACTTACCAGCAGGCTGTGGGGGTCAAAGGTCACTTCTCCAAGGTTGCTGTGTCTTTCAGCCAATCACAAGACAAGAAGCAAAGTAAATCATCCAGACAGCCGATGGCACAGCAGAGACGAGGAAGTGAGCCAATTATCAGCCAAGGTTTAGACCACTTAGACCCACCCACTTTGAAGCCCAACCCATCAGCGAGAGTTGTGACTCCACCTTCCCACCAGGGCACCTGGCCACTGCTCGGTGCTCAGGAACAGAGCTCCATCCTGGGTGTGTCCTCTCCGTCTGCCCCTGGCTCCTCCCAGCACCTCCTGCAGATCCCCTTCCCCAGCAGCCTGCACCCTCACCTGGGGAAGGCTGGCTATGTCCACACCCCTTTGAGCTACATCCAGACCCAGCAGTCCACACCTGGTGCAAGCATCCACCTGCCCTTTAGGTCCGAGGAGTTCCCGAACCGGCAAACTGGAAACTTTTCTGAACAAGTGGACCCGACCAAAACACAACGAGAGCGAGAGGGTCAGAGCGGGACAGCAACGCTTCCGAGCCAGAACCAACAAGAGCTTCAGCAGCAGCGCCTGCATCCACAGCCGATTCTGTGCAGCGTTCCCAGTCTCTTACCTGCACAGGTATCTGTGGACTACCTTGTCGATGTGTTGGGCTCTGCTGCAGCACCTGGACCCTTCTTCAGAGTTCCCGCCCCCTGTCAACTGATGTTAGACCCTAAAAGTGGGCGGTTCTTCTATGCTGACACGTCCCTGCAGCATCAGAGGAAAATGCTCCTGGATCCAGAAACCGGACAATTCTTCCAGGTGTTCTTACCTCCAGCTGGCTCAGCCTCCAATGCTGCCATGTTCCCAGTGACCTGTGCTAACCCCGCCCCCACTGTGATCCAGGTGGGCGCCACTAACCCCATGTTGCTCTCGGTGATGCCATTCCAGCGAGCAGTGGGCGTGTCCTCATTTTGTGGCCTTCCTGTCACTGTGATGGCGTCAAACCAACAGCGCAGCGATGACATCACGCACACTTTGCCTGGTCGTCACTGATCATCGATCACTGCTTTGATATTGATTATTATTGATATATTATTGTTTGCACTCTGTGACATCACATGTTTGAGTTTTGTACTTTTCATCACAAACACGCGATCAGCAAAAACATTTATTGATTATTGATCAAAACATTGGAAAAAGAAAAAAACATTAAATTCACTCAAAGAAAACAAAACACACCAATACTGGAGACAAACTGGGACTTGTACTGGGAACCAGTCAGTCCGACTGCTTATGTTAAAAACACAAACTTAATATCGATTAATTCATACTGATTAATACTGACCTGTATTGATTTAATATTGATCAACACGTTTTTAAAGCATATGTGATTTTCTCACTGCACTCTCTCAGATTGTTTTTATGCAATGGCACAATTTTTTATGGGACAGCCAATGCTGAAGCTCACCTGAAGCTCACCTGTGATGTTCTGAATCAGATTTTAACCCAGCCCTCCATCTTTGACCCTCTAAACACGAGTGACACCACGAGTGAAAGTGTACACTAAAGATATGGAGTCATGATTAAAGTCATGTAACTAAAGATACTGCAATCGGAAACCTGTTGAAGTCACGTGACCTCCTCAGGTGGACTTTATTTTGAACATATGTGTATCTAATTAACTTTTTTTGTGATCTGATGTATCTGAAAAGCGTTGCAGTCGGCCATCAATATTGTTGCCATGGTAAAAAAGGTGAAGTGCAGCTTAAACTGTAATAAACTGTAATAAAATCAACAGTTCCATTTCCTTTTAGTTTGTTGGCCATCATTTGTGTATGAAGCTATGACATCACACTGAGGGACAGGTGATTAGCTGTGTGTGTGTGTGTGTGTGTGTGTGTGTGTGTGTGAGAGAAGCTTTCTCTGATGAGGTTTTATCAATTCTCAGAACGCTTTTATTTAGCTTTTATTTTGAAAGACTGAATGGGTAGAGATTCAGTCTCACAGAAGAACTGCTTTTATTTTGAAGGTATGTGTGGATGGCAGCTTCCTTTCGCTCCATCCAATCAATTAGCTGACTGCAAGTCATTACACATCTGGAACATCTGCAAAGTGTCAGGTTGAGCTCATAAGGAGGAAATTAAACTCAAGGACTGGAAGACCACGCTGTGGGAGGGGCTTTAGTTATGGGAACAGGAGGTGATGTCACAAACTTCTTGTCATATTGATTAATGGAAACACTGATTGGTTTGAAATCTAACTGGTCCCAACAGCTGTCAGGTGAGATTGATGACATCATCTTCACAACTTGGTGCTTGGCAATTCGTCGTCACCTTCCTCCTGTTCCAGAGGGGGTGGGTCATCAGATGCCCTGAAACCTGTGAAGGTGGGGCTGATGGGGAACCGCCGGAGCCAGCGAGTGCGTCTGAGCACGGGCATGACAAAGGGAAGGTCGTAGGTGGAGTAAGAGGAGGAGGAAGAGGAGGAGTTCCACTTAACCAGCCCTCGCTCCTCTCTGGTGCCTGACAACAGAGGAAGAAAGCAGGACTGAGAACCACTGTGTGTGTGAGTGAGTATGTGTGTGTGTGTGTGTGTGTGTGTGTGTGTGTGTGTGTGTGTGTGTGTGTGTGTGTG